ATAGGGGGGATACAAAGAAAATAAAGTGTAATTAATAAAGAATTTAAAAAAAAAGAAACCTATAATTGGTCAAATGCAGAGTTACAGATGGTGGGATGTGTTGCCCCAATTTACACACCTACAACACAACCCCTAAGCTAAGGCTCAGAGAACATCTCAGAAGAGGAAGTGGAAAGACTGTAAGCACCAGAGGACTGGAACATCTGCTAGGAGACAGGGTCTTCGATCTATGACAAGGAAGCTGCACTCAGAGTGACAGCATCAGTGCAGATGGGGAAGATCTCACAAGGCCCCACCAACAGCTCCAAAGTGTAGCTGGCAGGGTGGCTTGATGGGTAAAAAGATGCTTGCCACCACCCCCGACAACCTGAATACAATCCTGCATGGTAGAAGGGACAATCAGTTCCTTAATGATGTCACAGGATCGCCACAAACACGCTGTCACACCTGTGTATATGCATACACACAAAACAGTCAATTCGGAGAAATATTTTTTCTGCCGTGAACAACAACAAAAAAAGTAAACTGTGTGGTACCACATTCTATACTGTGTTTATGTCTTGAGATGGTCTCACTCAATAGCCTGGACCGGTCTTAAATTCAGCATGGAGGTCAGGCTGCCTCAGATTCGGGGCTAGCACCCTGCTTCATCCTCCAAAATGCTGGGGTTTCAGGTGTCTACCGGTTACAGTGTTATTATTGTTGTTTTAATTAACAAATTCCTTATGAGAAATATGAACTGCAACAGTCATTATTTAATTGTACCTCTGAAGTGTTGGTGTCAAAAACTATACTGAAGGAGTATCTGTGTAAGTGCCATACTGTCTTAATTCAGGAACTCAGCGCCATTTTCAAGACTTTAACATTGATACTTTTTAAACTATTTATGGAACAGAACAGTCCAAGGTACTTTTATTTTCAACGGTAAAAGAGGAACAGTATTATAATGAATATTATAATGGATAAATGAAAATTATTTTCTCTGAAACAATAACTGATTAAATTTAGTTACTTTAGATAAAACTGTTTTCTTACAAAAACTTCCTCAGAAGACTTTCACATAGTTTGAACCATTTGCAAACCACAGTTTCATCTACGTCAGCCTCTAACATTTTTAAACCACGCAGAAAGGAAAGGAAAGTTTTAGTTCAGCAGGCAAGCCTGCAAGATGGGACTCTTGCCACCGTGGCTAAACGGCTCATGAATCTCTGAAGACTTGGACCCAGGCCTGCTCAGGCCAGAGAAGACACAGCCAGGTACGTCCTTCTCAATCATTAGCTAATTCCGTTTTTCCCCCCACAGAAACCAAAGCCATGCTTTTCAGTATTGAAGTAGAGAGAATCAAAAGTCACAAGGCTACTGGGTTGTAGGACAACAATTAAACTGTAATTAGACCTGAGTTGTGGACTTCTAACAGCATTTCCTACTTTCTTTTGATCTCATGTGTCTTTTAAAAAAATAAATAAATAACTACAATTCAAATTAGACTAATGACCCAGACAAGAATTATGTGAGCTATTCTGCTTCCTAACTGGATTGATGGGGGAGGCCATGCTGCCCCTGCCCAGGAGGTCCTACCCAGACTTTCCTCTGCCAGTCCTATGTTAGCAAATGTCAAAACATGTCCACCAAGACTCCCATGGAAAAATCTTCTAATTTTTAGTTTAGTTTAGCTTAGATTTACCCCCTAAGGAATGAGCAATCTATAAGAAAGAACGAAGGAGACATTTAAAATCTGTTCTCGATTTTGCTGAGTACTGCTGAGTTCCCCTAGTTTTGCACAGATGCTGTCGCCACAATGTTTATCAAGCTCTTAGATCTCAGGCTTATGGTAGAGAGCATGGGATGTGGTTATGGTACAATGTTGCCTCTGATCAATATATGCAAAGTTTTGAGAAACTACTTTTCATGGCAATCTAGAAACAGTTTTGTTTGTTATTTTTTGTTTGTTTGGGTTTTTTTGGGGGGGGTGTTTTGTTTTGTTTTTTTCAGGACAGGGTTTCTCTGGGAAGTCTTGGCTGTTCTAGACTCACTTTGGTATGCTTCAGATTATGACAACCACCTAACAGGATTCATAACTTATTTTAAACAAAAATGTGGTCATGAAACATAACTAGTAAGTCCTTTACAACTGTCATTAGGGTTAGTACAGAATGACAATACCTGTGGACCCCCAAAGCCCTTACTACCCTACGGCAAAAGGGAAGAGCATGTAACTTTTTTTAATATTTTTTTATTATTATTAATTACACTTTATTCATTTTGTACCCCCCATAAGCCCCTCCCTCCTCCCTGCCTGATCCCACCCTTTCTCCCCTTTCTGCATGCATGCCCCTCCCCAGGTCCACTGATAGGGGAAGTCTTCCTCTCCTTCTTTCTGATCTTAGACTATCAGTTCTCATCAGAAGTGGCTGCATTGTCATCTTCTGTGGCCTGGCTCTTTGAACATGTAACCTTTAAATGACACTTAAGAAAGCTCACACATTGTACCATTCCAAGATAAACACAGCAGGGCCATTCAATGGCTCAACCAATGAAGGGTTAAATTAGGTGCCTGAGTAGACCTGAGTGGTGGTTCTTTACTGTGAAAGGTAGAAGGTGTTTTTGTTTTGTTTTGTTTTGTTTTACATTGAAATAAAGGTCTCATGTGTACCAGACTAGCCATGCCATTTAGCAAGGAATGTGCTTAACTAGTGTTCCTCCTGAGTACTAGGATCATTAAAAGAGTACCACCAGGTCCAATAAAGTTACATGTTTTAATACAGATATAATTGACCTTTTTTTTGGAAGATGCTGTAACAAACATAGGCCCATGTTCTAGAAGCTTCTAACATACACTTGCATAAGTCTACTCAAAAATACTTCCATAGAGATAGTTAAGGAGAAAGAGGACCCGGAGTAAGACGATCAATCCTCACTTAGAAAAACAAATGGCCATAAGTCTCAGTGTCTGCTTTGATAGTCTGCAATCTTATGTAAGAAGTGGGAAATAGTAAGATCTGGAGAGGACAGAAACTCCACAAGGAGAGCAACAGAACCAGAAAATTTGAAACACAGGGGTCTTCCCAGAGAGTCATACTCCAACCAAGTCCCATGCATGGAGATAACCTAGAACTCCTGCACAGATGTAGCTCATGGTAGTTTAGTGTCCAAGTGGGTTACATAGTAATGGGAAGAGGGACTGCCTCTGACATATCTGATTGGCCTGCTCTTTGATCACCTCCCCCTGAGGGGGGAGCAGCCTTACCAGGTCACAGAAGATGACAATGCAGCCACTCCTGATGAGATCTGATAGACTAGATCAGAAGGAAGGAGAGGAGAACCTCCCCTATCAGTGGACTTGGGGAGGAGCATTCGTGAAGAAGGGGGAGGAAGGGTGGGATCAGGAGGGGAGGATACAAAGGGAATAAAGTGTAATTTAAAAAAACTAAAATAAAAAGTATTTAAAAAAACAAATAAAACTGCTATGAACATGGAATAAAAAAAAAAAAAGAAAAACAAATGGGATGGACATTGGAAGTAGGAAAAAAGAAGTAACAGGACAGGAACCTACCGCAGAGGGCCCCTGAAAGACTCTGCCTAGCAGTTTATCAAAGAAGATGCTGAGACTCATAACCAAACTTTGGGCAGAGTGCAGAGAATCATATAAAAGAAGGGGGAGTTAGTAAGACCTGGAAAGGACAGGAGTTCCATAAGGACCAAATATATCTGGGCACAGGGGTCTTGTCTGAGACTGATTCTCCAACCAAGGACCATGCATGGATATAACCTAGAACACCTGCTCAGATGAAGCCCATGGCAGCTCAGTATCCAAGTGGGTTCTCTAGTAAGGGGAACAGGGACTATTTCTGACATGAACTCAGTGGCAGGCTCTTTGACCTCCCCCAACCCCTGAGGGAGGTGCAGCCTTGCTAGGCCACAGAGGAGGACACTGTAGCCAGTCCTGATGAGATCTGATAAGCTAGGGTCAGATGGAAGGGGAGGAGCACCTCCTGTATCAGTAGACTTGGAAAGGAGCTGGGAGGAGATGAGGGAGGGATGGCGGGATTGGGATGGAATGAGGGAGCGGGATACAGCGGAGATACAAAGTTAATAAACTATAACTAATACTAAAAAATAAAAATTTAATAAAAAAATAGTTAAGGCCATGATGTTCAGCAAGTTTTCCTATTAGGTAAATTTAAACAGCAAAAAGAAATGCAAGAAAATAAGTTCATAAATATAGCAAGCATAATATCCCAAAAAATATTACATGGGTACTCAACATGAAACATGACAACTAAACAGAATCTTTAATATGTTCACTATTTAAAGTGTTCACTGGCCACATATGGCTGGAGACAACGTTGGTCTTCAATTCTATAGCATTTTGAAACTGGAACAGGACAAGAGAGGCAGCAGGCATCAATTCAGAACCAGAGTCTAACGCTTTAACTCTTCCCACTGAAAATAAGAGAGGAAATTTTATTTCTAAAAATATGCTAACAGGATTCACCACAGAGGGCCTACTTTTAAAATAGCAATGTAAAAACCCTTCTGCAGTTTGCTGTCATCTCTTTTCTCTCATCAACCTAGGTTATTGCAGCATAAGCCATAAAATCTATAAAATAAAAGCAGGGATCCACACTGAAACCTTTTCAGACAAAACCACAGCACCTTCCTCTCTCCACTTCCCAGAACCTCTGGTCACTTACCTCCTCTGCAAAGAAATTTCTCCCTCAACCGGTAACAGAGAGCCACACAACACAAACCACAAGATCAAAAACATCCTTTTGAAAAAGCAACTTGACATGGACTTCCTCAAAGTCACAGGAATCAGGCAGTGGAGAACCTGTGCTTTCATAATCTATGATGTTCCCACGAGTCCAGTAAAACTCTTCCTAAAAACTAGGAATACTGTGATATTTTGAGTATAACTGACTTTTAAGAAAAGTATTTTCTGACTTTAGTTACTAACATCTCGCCCTGACTTTTTTTTTTAACAGAGCTGTGAAGTTTTTTTAAAAATTATTGAACTCTACTTTCTCACCCAAGATGACCAATAGTTCATTATTCTGTCCAGTTTACAGAGATCTGGAGCCATTTACGTATTTCTTTTATTTAGTTTTCCTCATTGGAATTATTGGAAGTTGTTTTGCAATGTGGGCTTTTACACAGAAAACCACACATCACAGGTGTGTGAGCATATACTTAATCAATTTGCTGATGGCTGATTTCCTGCTCACTCTGGCATTACCGGTAAAAATTGCTGTTGACCTGGGTGTGGCACCTTGGAAGCTAAAGATATTCCACTGCCAAGTGACAGCCTGCTTCATCTACATCAATATGTACCTGTCTATCATCTTCTTAGCTTTTGTCAGCCTTGATCGCTGTCTTCAGTTAGTTCACAGCTGCAAGGTATACCGGATACAAGAACCCGGATTTGCCAAAATGATATCAACTGTGGTGTGGCTCATGGTCCTTCTTATAATGGTGCCCAACATGGTGATTCCTATCCAGGATGTCCAAGAGAAGTCAAATGTAGGTTGCATGGAATTTAAAAAGAAGTTTGGAAGAAATTGGCACTTGCTAACCAATTTTGTATGTGTGGCAATATTTCTGAATTTCTCAGCCATCATTCTAATATCCAACTTCCTTGTAATTAGACAACTCTATAGAAACAGAGACAATGCAAATTATGCAAATGTGAAGACAGCTCTAATCAACATTCTCTTGGTGACAGCTGGTTACATCATATGCTTTGTTCCTTACCACGCTATCCGGATCCCATACACCCTCAGCCAGACAGAGGTCATATCTGATTGCTCAACTAGGATCTCACTCTTCAAAGCCAAAGAGGCCACACTGCTCCTGGCTGTATCCAATTTGTGTTTTGATCCAATCCTATACTATCATCTATCAAAAGCATTCAGACTGAAGGTCACAGAGACCTTTGCCTCACCTAAAAAGATCAAGGGTCAGAAAGAAAAATCGAAATGTGAAACTGATGTGTAAAATAAAGGGTTTTGCATGTTAGACCTTCTTCCCAACTGGGCCATAGAGCTGGTCATCATTTTCAAAGGTAAAAGATGATGCTAAGATAAAAAGAAGATGCTTGGTAATAAAAGCAGCTGACAGCTGGCAAACATGGACTGGCTCATGTGGGAAGTCCTGCGCACTCATAGTTACTGATATTCGTTACCGCAAATATCTGTAGAGGAAAATTAACAGAGCATGTTGAACCCAAGTCAACTGGAATGATCAAAAAGAGAAGAGCCATGGCAAAGACCTGGAAACTTATTTCAACGCCTTGAACTGATTTCTTGATTAAAAAAAAAAAAAAAAAAAGTCAAATAATCTGCATCTATACATCTAAGTTGCCAGGAAGCCCTTCATCAACACAATCTTAAAGGTCTTCAGTCACGTAAAAAATAAATAAAAACATCAAAATAACCACAGTCTGTATTTTTAACCTATCAGTTTGAGAGGTAGTAAAGATTCTATTCAGAACTGTTGGAGGTTGGTCTGATGCATGTTACTAGTCCTCAAGATCTGGGTACACCTATCCATGTTGTGTAACCCTATCTGGTTGGCTAATTAAACGGCCTATAGTTGGGTGGAGCAGAGCGGAATAGGCGTGGTTAAGGTTCCCGGGCTTGGAGAGGGTAGAGAGAATCATGGGAGACATTCAGAAAGGAAGAGAGGAGGAAGTAGGACACCACAATGGGTTAGCATGAAGAAGAAACCACCTGGGCTAAAAGAAAGGACTCTAACAATGGCATGAAAAGGCCCAGATGAAGAATAAAAGCAAATACCATGGGATTATGTGCTGAAGGTAGACCAGATGAAAAGAATTAAGGTGGATGGCATTAGATGGGGGCTAGGAGATGAATGGTGACAATATTGAAACAGTGTAACAAAAATATCTGCCCTGCCCAAGGTAAATAAGGCAATATAAATCTAACAAGTATATGTGTCTTATTATTTGTGATAGTGGGTTAAATAATACTGTCTTGATAATCATAGGGCTAATAACAAATAATACATAGTCCAACACTTTTTTTTTTAAACTACAACACAGAATACGTCTTTTTAACATCTAATTTTTTGCGAACAGTAACAACTTTAGTTATAAAAGGTTTAGAGTTACAGGAACAGTGGGTCACACTGGTTAATTCCAGTATGCTGGAGGCTGAGGCAGAAGTGTCATTTTGGGTTTGAGGCTAGCATGGCAACAGGTGAACTGGAGGCCATTCTGGTCTATAAAATGAGACCTTATCCCTAACTAATTTTAAAAGTGGGTTGTAAAAAACACAGGTTTTTTTTTTTTTTTTTTAACAACATAAGAGAGCTGTTAAATTATATTAACTACTGAAACTATTTTGGTAGCAAAAATCTGCATCAAAAGTATTTTAAAAATAATTCTAGCCAAAGAGCCTTTAAATAAACACATGAACTCAAACCACGAGGACATGCTAGGAACATAGGCTATGTTGGTCCACGGGTACTTCTCAAATCAAGAGACAAGGCTAACTAGAATGAATCTATAGTACAAAGTCAAGCCACACTCCCTCTCCATACATACACTTACCGGATCCTGTCCGCTGCCAGTGCACACACACATTTTGAAAAATGGCATTAAATAAAAGACAAGAAAACTGGAAAAGTACTGAAAAGCACAGGGATTTTGGAGTTTCTGTTTTGGTTTAGTTCTCTCTCTCTTTCTCTCTCTCCCTTTTGTTTGTTTTTGGAGGCATGCTCTCTTATACCTCTTTATAGCCTTGAGTGTACTATGTATCCAAAAATAAGCTTAAACTCCTGATCTTCCTCCCTCCACCTCCCAAGTTCTAGGATTATAGAAATATGCTGCCAAAACCAGCTCTTCTGTGTGTATTTTCAGCATTATTAATATTTACATACAACAGCTAGAAATGGGCCAGAGAGACAGCTCGCCAGTTAAGAGCACCTGATACTCTTGCGGAGGACCCAGGTTCAGGCCCAATCACCCCACATCAGGAGGCTCACACTGCACGTACGTCCACTTGCTGAAGGGATCCAAGTGGGATCCCAAAACCTCTTACCTCCTCCAGCACCAGGCAGGCACATGGTACACATATATACATGCAGATACACATACATATATACGCATATTAAATAAATAAATCTTAAAGAAAAAAAAGCACTACATTGCAATAGCTGTGGTGATGGGAGACAGTGACCCTGGACCGGGTGTGGGAGCATATGCCTATAGCACCACACTTGGAAGCTGAGACGGAAGGATCCCAAGCCAGTATAGATGTTATACCTAGACTGTTACACACACACACACATATATACACACATGAGAGAGTGGAAGGGAGAAAAGGAGGAGGGGAGAAAAGAGGGCGAGAAGAGAGGGGAAGAAAGAGGGAGGGAGGAAGGGAATATAAATGTGCTCCTGGATGCCAAGAATATGTTTGATTGAAATGTTATTTTTGTACTTGAAGAGTTAGATTCAAAGCCCTGTGTGTAAATTCACAAATATGCTCCTAGTCTGAAGCAAGTAAGGAAGAAAGGACCAACTGTCTATTTCCTTTAAAAGAAACCTATTACAGTAGCTTCTAGAAGAAGTAAGTAACAGGAACGCCAATCAGTATGACATGTCTGAAACCATATAAATCCCTACGGGTTTACAGGCTGGTATAACACAGACACAATAAAACCCGTGCTTGTTGGTGGCCTAAACATTTTTTTTCCTGGAGATTAGATCAAAACAGCCATGAAACAGTGTACATGGTATGTATATATGGAGTACCTGCTCAATACCCCTTCAGCCTCTCTCCTTGGTTTTTAGTTACAAAGGCAACATAGAAGTTAGCAAAAGACCAAAACATCTTTAGCCATATTCTTATATTCTCTTCTCATGCACAACAGGCAGTCAGAGTCTTCCTAATAAGAAGAGAAAAAGACTCTCAATACAAGGTCAACATTTATGAGCCTATTGTTCTCCATTTGATTTATTATCAATTATGCCCATTATAAAAGGGGGCCTCAAATAAGTCAGTAGTGGAAAGCTGTGCTTGTTCAGGTTTTTGGGGCCACCTGACACATGCTGGATTCATTTTAGATGAGGAGAAAATTGAGAAAAATGTTCCCATCAGATTGGCCTGTAGGCGAGTCTATGGACCTTTTCCTGATGAGTGGCTACTGTAGAAGAGGCAAACCCACTGTGGGCAGTGCCACCCCAGGGCAGCTGGTCCTGGATGGCATATGAAAGCAGACGAGGCAAGCCAGTAATTCCTCCATTGCCTCTGCGATGTTCCTGACTCAAATGCCTGCCTGACTTCTTCCTTCATCATGGACTATAATCTGTAAGATGAAACAAACCCTTTCTTCCCCTAGTTGCTCCAGGCGATGGTGTCCATCACAGCAACAGAAAGCAAACTAGAACAAAAGGTAACTAAAAACTGGATCCAAAGGTGCCCTAAGGGGTAAGAAGAATCATGAGGGCCTAAGTTAGATCCCAGAATCCATATAAAAAGCCAGGAATTGCCACTCAGTACTGAATCCCCAGCACTGTAGGAGGTAGAAATAAGAAGATCACTGGAGCTTACTGGCCACCAGACCAGTTCTAGCTTCACTAAGAGACCCGAGTCAAAGGTTAAGACAAAAATGGTGGAGCAGGACACACTCCTCTGGCCCCTGAATATACCTGCACACACACACATACACATACACAGCAAATACATATCTTACATGCCAGCATAAGCACACACAAAAATTAATAAAAATAAAAATTCGATCCTGCTTAACAACTATTATCAAGGGGCCTCATCAAGCACTTCCCTCTAAGGAGGTAGACAGGGTCACATAAACAACACACAAAAAGTAGCCTCGAACACAGACCTGCAAACCCTGCTTACAGAGGCGAGCACATGGAACTCTCTCCTACTTCCAGCACTTCACTGGACTCGCTCTCCCTCCCCTTTGCTTCAGTTCTTTTGTTTTTTTGTTTTGTTGTACGGAGTTCCTGGACCTATTTCCCCTAGTGTTAAAATTACCTCACAGGACTATGGCATGACCTGTGTATTACAACTAAGAAGCTGCTAATGTGGCAGAATTAGTAGTGAATAAACTCTGGGCTTTAAAGTTCATTTATTTTACACTTAATATTTTAAAACAACATAAGGCATGATATTTCATCCATAAATGTGTCAGAAACAGCTGTAATATGTAGGGCCAATATCTCTGATACCACAAGTACACTGCCAGAGTGCTCTACTTGTATTTAAAATCAATGGTACAGACAACCATAGAAAATTACTGATAATATTCTGATATGAACAAGAAAGAATTTTATAAAGTTTTGACATAGTACAAGGACACAAACAAAAATAATTTTTCATGGTCGTAAGACAAAAAAAAAATGGACTTAGTGAATTTGAGTCATTTTGGAGGCTATTCTAAACTATCAACTGTATTTAGCTTTAACAAAATACTCAGCTTACCAATCAAAACTTCTAAAGGTGTCAAAAAATACCATGCAGGAAACAGTTTACCAGGAATCAAAAATGCCTCAGCTTTTAGAAAAATGTTCATCACTAACATCTAAAGTACTATGGTTTTTCTTTGGGATGAAGACTTCATTACTTAAGACAGCAGCACTAAGTTCCCTGCCAAGCCCTCTTCATGAGCTATCCAAACTTTAAACCCACCAGGTCCGAAGCCAAGTCCATCTCAGCCACAACCTCTGTCACCAGAGCCACTTGTTGGTGACAGTGATCCTTCTCTCCAATATTCACTTAAGTAGGGAAGGGACACAGGAATGCCAGAAACTTGCCTGTTAGTGGACCCTTGGGTTCTCACCCACCTGCCACTGGCAGAAGAACTTGTCATTCATAAGCAACCATCCATCTCCTTACTTATTCTTCCTGTGCCCCCAAATTCTTACTCATCTGTACAATGTCAAAGGTACCAACAGTCAAAACAGTACAGGTAAGAACTAATCAGCAAATGACTTCCACACTGAAGTAGAAAAAAACATTTAGACATTACTTGCAGTGACTCAAATCCTTTTGATGAAAGGATATTAACACAGGGAATTCTGCTAACTCAGTTAGTCACTAATATCACACCATAACGCTGGAGCTGGCTATGTGATCCAGATTGCAGCCGTCAGAGCAGCAAAGGCAACTTTCACCGGACGTCATCATGTGTAGGCAGAGAGGCAGGCGGATAATCTGACAGCCAACCACTACGGTCCTTATAATAAGAGCAGCACGGTACACACTGATGGAACCTTGACTTACCAGAGGTATAGGAAAGTGGGTTGCATATTGCAGGTGACGGAGGAGGTCATAGTTGGATGGAAAAATTAATTCTCTTGTCTTTTCTCTCTTTACCAGTTTCTCTCCA